ATGGCGACCGCCCGAGGTGGTAATAATAGTAACTCCATTCTTCGCAAGTTCATATAGATGATGTACTTGAAAATTATGGTAGTCTTGTTGAGGCAATTCCGTGGTAAAATGGAAGATAAGAAATGGCGCTATCACACGGAAATATTAGCTACTTGACGATAAAATGTGAATCACTGTAAACGTGACTTGCTCCATGTAATCGGAGTGTTTTGCGCAATTTAATAGGTACACTCCTTAATATCCAGTTACTCTCTGATCTTTACTTTTATACGTCATCTCTTTCTGGAAGAAATTCGCTACAAAAATTTGTGTGCGTGTCTTATGCGTGCTTCATGCGCTGTCCATCTCAGTCATTATTTAATCATTCTAGTAGCATTTGGTAACGGCCTAATAGAGGTAATTTATTTCACTCCTTTGTTACAATTCATCAAAATCTTACGCTGTTATCACTGTAACGTGTTGAGATTCCATGTCGTCGTACTTAAGGCAAGAAATACGTGATCTGAATTAAATTTTTCAGTCGTGCATAGTCGTTTTTGACCAGCGCGATGGTAACTATATGTACCACTCACTGTAACATCTAGTAACTCTTCGTTTGAATAAAAAAAGTTGGGTTTTGTATGATTTTCAGAATGAACAACGATTATTTCTATCAGAACACTAACCATCTGATCTTTGTAGTGCAGACGCACTTATTTTCCTTCACGAAGGAAATTAATTTTTAAATATCTAAGCCGTGTTTGTGCTCACAAAGGTTTAATCAATTAATGGTGTCCACATCTTTTCTTTCTTTCTTCCTTTTTTATTATTTTTTATTTTTTTGTATTTAGTATTTGATGCTATTCTCTATTTCCGCTTTCCAAAAATTTAACAAGAATCAGATTGTTCTTATGATCTGTTCCAGTGACTGTCCTTTGGGATTCATACCAAAGCCGTGGCCGGGTCTGAGCCGGAAACTAATACCACGCGTCATTCTGTGTGCTACCTAAGGTCACGCTCCGTGTTGCTTAACCGCTTTGTATCGTCATGGGTCGCTTGACGGAACAACGGGTCTATTTCAGTCAGTTGCCCGCAACCCCCACAGCGTTCTGTTTACACTCTTTTTTGTAATAACCTCAAATCTGACGGACACAGTCGATTCTTATGTTGATGATTTCGTTGTTATATCCGTTGCCTTCCTACGTACGGTTTCTATGACCGTAAGCCCGGATATATTCGTTCGTTTTTAGTTTTGTTTGTTACCCTGTTTGAGACGCTTAGTTGACGATTGAATTTCGAACAAAAATCAAATAATTTTATTTGGAAAGATGGTAGTTATTTACAAATAATATTTAGGGAATTATTTAAATTTGTTATAAAATATTCGTATTATATTTCCAAGAAGACGTTCATGAAAGGATAGTTTGTCCGTGCTCGAAGAATGTTGCGGTAAAAAGGCTTCAGCAGACTCTTACTAAGTTTTGAGGTTAACGGTCAACGCATTTTGCGAATTTCTTGCAAACCCTGAAGCAGGGCTTCGAACCAATTGAAGTAAAGGTTCAGTTAGGAGAGTAATCTAACTTCCTGCTTTATTCCGGTTCAGCGCTCTAAGAGTAGAAAACGTTCCGTAACTGTTTCGAAGTCATTGAAACCGGTTTACAAAATATACGTTCTATATATAAATTTTATATAAAAATTGCTAACGCCATTGAGCAGACTGCTACGTGATAAGCTGGTAGTCTCTCAGATAGTGGAGAAATCCATCGCCTTTTATGGAATATAGTGTTCATTACCTTGTTCGTAAAAGCCCGCTATTTCTCCTTGTCCTGAGTCGAATGCGCCCAGTTACAACTTCCGATTTTACTTCCGAAATATATATATATATATATATATATATTTCGGAAGTAAAATCGGAAGTTGTAACTGGGCGCATATAACTACGTCGCGCAGGTTATTACACTGCACGTCCAGTGTGTGGTAAGTTTCCTGTACTGGGACTTCGTAACTAAGAACAATAACAGGTTTCTTTTACATTTAACTAAAGTGACCGGCCAGTGGCCAGACGATCGTCGTTCGATTCTCGAAAAAGAATTTCCTTTACGACGCCCAGATTGTCTCAGTTAATGTGGTCGGGGGTTGTTAAATGACTGCTTATCTCTTATCTCTCTAAGTCCAGAACGTGATACGCTTTACCTCCGCGCCCTCAGTACGCCGCCTCGACGTGGCTGCTGGGAACAGTCCGGTCTTCGCGTCTAAAGCGTCGATGTATGGGGTGGCGTGGGTAAAATATATGTTTACTGGAAATACCTTAGCAGGTCTGGCTGTAAAGCAGTGTAGAATGGAGGTGGTTCCATGCCCTGATGAACATAACGTATCATGAAGATGACTTTCCGAATTATCTTCATTGCAATAATTACTTCATCTCTGTTTGTGGAAGCTGGGACCTCTTAGTAGTAACGGTAGACTACTTGACTTGGTTCCGCAAGCATTTCAGCTGAACGAGTTCGTGAGCAAACTCCTTGACTGACATGTACAACCGAACAGCTGTTCCACGCCGTAAGCCACTTTTTTCGCCATCTTCGGTTGTGTTATTATTATTCTCTGTACAACCGCTATCTGCAGCTTCAGTTAAAAGGAAGCAAACCTGCCCTAGTGTTGTTATTTATAAATTACGCCGAACGTGGTTTTAAAATCATTCATGAATGATCTAAAGTTGTATCTGTTTTGTATGAGGCTGATAAATGTGGCGTAGGTTAAGAAAATGGCGGATTCTGCAGCCTGTACAAAATGGTGTTCGTATAACTTGTGATAACACTACAAATAATTAATATTTTTTAAGAGGGGTTTTAAAAGAAACGTTTTCTGATGGAAACATCGTTTGATTTAAGTATCATTGTAATGTAATTTAATTTAGTGTTATGTAATTATTGTTAAGTAGTATAAACAACCTCTACTCCAGGAAGGAAATAATTGATGCTCCATTGTCAACAGATGATCGTTAGTCACGGTTCTATACGGTGGTCGCTGGTTCTGTTTCCAATCGGTGAAATCATTCTACGCTAGTTAATGTTATGCTATGAGGACTCGATTCTTTCGATTGTTTGAGGAGTCGTGAACGTCAGAGTAGTAGGCTGTTAACTAAAACATCCGCAATTAGTGGATCATTAAGGATCGGCTCGGTCTGTAATTAGAATCGCGAAAGTGCAGCTTTGTTCCGCCGCGTTCTGTTAGATGCTGTATCAGTTATGTGGTTCGCATGATGAATGTCGTGGTTGTTACGTACTGAAATGGGAATGATTTGGTATGAAATGGTCGGTGGCCTATTTAATTTACAATCTCAGGGTTTTCCTATAGGGGATGAGGAGAAACCTCTGGAGTTTTGGGTCGCAGGGTGGAAATCGGGAAGTAGACGATGTTTGTGAATGAAAACGCAAAACAGCTCATTCACACCCGAACATGATGACTATCTTTCTCGCCACTCCACTACCTTTTTTTAATTATTTCATTGTTTTTGGTTGTTGTATATCACATGATTACGGACGGAGTAATTTTAATAGGCGCTCCGTAGGGCTGCAAACACCTCTTCGGGAGTTGCACGAAACAGCCAGTTAGCACCGAAGAGCGACTGGTACGTTATGATTCCTGGCCATCGAGGAGTTGAACGATCTGAAATATAAGCCGTGTTGCTCAGAAATGATTATACCAGAAACGTTGTACTAAAGCAACGTGATTTCTGTATTAATCCATGTTTCGATACTTTTTAATACACTTGCAGCAGAACTTTAATCATCAAAAGACAAATCTAAAACTTCTTGACGATGGTGAAGAGTCAATTGAATAAACATTTTCTTGGATATTATCCATCGTCTAGTAAATATAAAACGTAAAACGACGTTTCGGAGATGGGACTCTATCTCCGTCTTCAGGTTCCTACACAGTTGGGCCCACTAGATAGAGCTAATCCCTATCTCCGAAACGTCGTTTTACGTTTTATATTTACTAGACGATGGATAATATGCAAGAAAATTTTTATTCAATCAAAAGACAAATTATTGACTTCGTAATTTAACGATTGACCTCGTGTAATATAAAATTAATGTTTCAACGATGTAGACTCGGACCCGTACTAGATACGGCCAGGACTTCTGAAACGTCGGTAAACTTCTATCAGACTAAACGTTTCAACTACCAAGAAGACAGCCATCTTCAGACTCAACCGCCGTGAAAACATCAAATCTTACCAATTATTTTTACATTGGGAAAATGAATATGACCCTAGAAGGCCCCTGAGGAGACCCCATATTCATCCGGTACCCCAACACGTCCGTGTGAAAATGGGCTTATTAGGAAGGCTAATAGAAGGCTGTGGATAAAAGGAGGACGAATATGATAATGGATGGGCGTAGAAGAAAAGGATGTGGAATTGGTATGCTTAGAAACTTACTGGCAGACCTCGAAAGACGTTTAGTAGCTCTCGTCAGGAAATGAAAGCAAACCGTCACGTTGGAAGTTAAATAGGCCGGAAAGAGAAGCAGTAACATCTGAACCAAATATGTCGGCGCCACTAGTCGCAGAATCTAAGGAATTTTTTAAATCTTCCTCGTGTCGAGAGACGTTTTGTCGTATTTCACTTCGGCCAGACTAAAAGGAAAGTGTAACTTCACATACGTCATCGCAAAGATTGTACTGGACTAGTTAAAACAGCGTTGGAAATTGTGGTGAAATGCATTTCTATATGAAGCTAACTACACGCAAGTGTAAATTTAAAGCATTTTATGAACATGAATATGCAAACAGTTCTTAAACTAGACTTGTGTAGAAAGGCTGTCACACACGCCATGTACGTAAGTTAGAAGACTTGCTAACACTGATGGCAGGCAATTGGTATGTCGTTTCGTGACATTTCAATAGCGGGAGTTATACTTATGAAGATTTGCGTTAAATAATAAACACATTAATTTGAATTTCCATTGCGAAGTATACAGTTAGTTTGTGACATTTTATCTTCTGTTTATTTTCAGCAGCAAAAATTCCTGAAACGGACAGCTGAAGAACTGGAACCCCCTGGAGGTTCTGCAGATGCTTTCGAACCGCCAGCAAAGATCCAATGCACAGGACCCGGTGGCCAGCAGAGGCCCTCAGGAGGCCCTCAGCAGCAACAGTCAACGGAGAACCTAACCAAATTCTCTGTGGAGATCGTGCAACAGCTGGAGTTCACGACGTCGGCGGCCAACTCTCAACCGCAGCAGATCTCCACTAACGTGACGGTGAAAGCTCTCACCAACGCGTCTGTTAAGAGCGATGTGGCGTCTCCGAAATCGGGACCTGGAACGCCGGCCTCTACCGTTGGAGGGCGTGCCAGTGCGGGTGGAACGACGACTCCGGGAGGCGGAGGATCGTGTGTTGACATCGGTAACCTTGTGGAGTGTAAGCAGGAGCCAGACAGCGAGTTCGTGGACCTTGAACAGTGTGCGGCTGCCCTTGAGAAAGACGCAGCGGCAAACGGGGCAAGTTTCCCCGGATTCTCGGACCTCATCGGTGACGATACTAGCGACGAAATTATTACCTCTGACGCGTTCAAAGATCTCATATCCGAAATCTCAGACTTTCATCCGGAATTTATGAAAGACTTTGACTTTGAGGATAAGACTGTGGACGGTTTGACGAACAGTACTAGTGCTAGTGGTGTGTGCCACCCTCCGCAAGTGGGGTCAGGGGGACAGTTGAAAGCAGAAGACGACAAAGAACTGCATCATCCGCAACACCTGATAGACGTAGGCAAACACAACAGCCCCAGCCCTCTGATGACAGGGAACCCCCAGTACTCACCCCAGCCCGTATACGACCCGCAGTCGCTGTCGAAGGCGCGCATGGCCCCATATCCACCCGGTCTGGCGGAGCTCAGTCCAGCTGCACAGACCCTGAAGCAGATGGCCGAACAACACCAGCACAAAACCCAGCTCGGCATGAGCTTTAATCCAGCTGCCACCGCCAGAAATGTCAGGTCTCCGTACGGCGAGTTTCAGTTCCCGTCATCGGCCGGCAGTCCGGGTTCTGGGGGCGCTGGAAGCAACGCTGGGGCACCGTCGTACCTGAACAAACAGGTGCCGGGTTCGGGCGGGGGAAACAGTTTCGTGAACAGCGGTTCGCAGTCCGAGCAGGTGATGTTCAGTGCCACCCAGACCGCCTTTACAAACAGCGGCCGTCAGGTCTTGCAACAGCAACAGCCGCAGAACTCAAACAAGCAAGCGGGTGCCGGTGGTAACACGATGATGGGCACGGGGTATAGCAACGCCCCCAAACAGCAGTACTCGCCTTACGGTAGCCCCGGTCCGCTGCCGAATCACGGGAGCCCTCAATATCTGCCTCGTAGCCAGGCTCCACAAACAACACAGCATGTAGGGCAGTACAACAGTTCCACCCCACCGAGACCTCCGTCCTGTCCGGGTACAGGAGGCCTTCAGATCAACCAGGCGCAGCAGATGCAGATCAACCAGCAGGGGCAGCAGATACAGGTAAGCTCTTTTCCGCTATAAAAAGTACAGGTGCACCGGTTTTAAAATCAGCAGATCATCTGGGTAATCTCAGGTGACGTACTTTATCCTGTGAAATTTAGGAAGTGACTCCTTGCCGCCATCTGAAGCGATGTGTGTTCAGTGTTAACTTTAAAATAAAAACCGTGGCGTTGTTGTTATGTTAACATTAACCGACACTCGATAAGACGGTCTTAAATCAAGTGGAATGTTAGCAGTCGCTTTCAGATATTGAGTTGCTACGTGCTAAGAAATAATATCTGTTGTGATTTATGCCGTGTTTAATTTTCTGAACGATTATACGTCGTTTAACTCAGTTATGCATTGTTTTTAAATATTTTTAACATTTATCTGCGATTCTGTCTGAATCTCTTCTATCGTCTCAAATCTCCTTCCCTTTAGCTGAATTTTCATCTTTGGGAAGAGGAAGAAGTCACATGGAGCTTCGAAAGGAAGTTGGGGTCGGTTCTTGCAAGATCTTTGAGTTCCTGACAAACGAGAAGTCGATTCTGCTTCTGGTCCTCAGACAGGATGCGTCGCATGTGGAGTTCTTCCTTTAGAATCAGCTGACAGGTCCCATAGCCTATCCCAACAATGTCGCATTAGTCGTTGATGGTACGACGTCGATCTTCGTGAATGGCCTGCCGAATCTTCGTACCATTTTCGGGCGTTGTGCTCGAAGATGGTCGTCCAGAACGCTCGTCATCATCGACAGAAGTTCGGCCGTTTTTAAAACGTGAATGCCACACAAAAGTTTGTGCACGACCCCTTGCGGACTCCCCAAATGCTTGCTTTAGCATTTCATAGGTTTCCGTAGCCGTTTTGGCGAGTCTTTGGCAACATTTGATGCACACGCCATTCCGAAATTGCAGGAGGGTCGGTGCAATGCACTACCAAAACGCTTGTAACTAAGAAACAAATGCTAATTCGATGATGCCGGCTGGCACACTGATTCACTATGAATGTAGGCCGCACCCCCTAGCGGCAGAAGCTCGTACTACATCCGGTTCGCCCTCTATTGACACAGTCTTAAAACTTTCCGTAAACCTCGTATGAGGTACATATTTTTGTTTTACTGTCGACACCCGGGTTCGCGCCCAGGTCAGTCCGTATGGGATTTGTACTGGACAGAGTGGCACTGTAAGAGGTGTTTCTCAACGTCATTCGGTTTCTCCATGTCATTATCGTCATTCATGTATCATCTGGAGGATGGCCAAGGTTCCAGTTACCTGCCGCTGTTCTGTATAAAAAGTCAAGTAGCTGTAACAGTGAGACTTGGATCTGCGTCTTACATTGAAAAATTTTGGTATTCGGACTCGGCCTGGTCGAACGTTTGATTATTTATTATTGCGTGAAAGTCGATCTTTGGAACGTGGGAGACTCGACTGCTCGTTTTCCTACGTCAAGTGTCACGTATGTGATGGCCGCCTTAATTTCTTAAGATTGATTCATGTTACTTAGCACGAAATCCATTTCTTAGCCTGTTGAAGACCTCCTGTCTCTTTTCGCCCTTATTTTGAGCGAAACAACTTTTTCCGCGTGCACCGCCATTAACAAAGTGAATCAAATCAACACATCACCGAAGTTTGTGTTTAAAATCTTCCATATGTCGACATTTTACTGTGAAATGACCATTTATGGGCGCAGAAAAGCGAAACTAAGCATTTGACGTACAGCTTGATGCAATCTGTTTTATGACACAGTGCGTATGTTATTTAATTTCTTCATAATCTCTTCAGGAAGAGACGACATTTGCTTCATCATACTATGTGTAAGAGAAGCAGATAAGTTATCTTTAAATTATTAACATTGAGTAACGGGCATGTGTGTATTTAACGAATTGAACCAAATATGTGGTTCTCGCTCTGACACTCGGTTCGGAATTTCATCTTCTGCTACAGTCCATCGACGAAGGAAGATGGCTGTCTTCTGGTTGTTGCGCCATGTGTGCAAGAAGTTTTTCGATCATCATGCGGAGAATCCTTTCCTGAATGCCTCCAAACCAATGGGTACCGGGGGCCCTTTCCCGGGCGTAAAGCGCGGCCGGGGTTTGACGCTGACCACTCACCCCCCATCGAGTGCGATGGTCAAGAATGAGTATGAGCTATACTACGTCTCCCTCGAAGCGCCCATATGGCATGTAACGGGATGGCTTTACTTACATTTACTGAATACTAAAGGAAACAAGAGGTATAATTTAGATGATGGTCTTCTGGGTTGTAGTGCCGTTGAGTATTGTCACTTTATTTCAACGTTTCGGAGGAACTACGTACATCTTCGTGGCTGAAAATATTTTTTTACAGATTGGTGTATGTATTTTGAAAGCTAAGGAATGTAATTAAGACACTGAGTGAGTGCTACGGAGTTGGTCACAGGCAGACGTCACGAGATAACACGAGCTGTCTCTGCATCGTTGAGACCTTGAGATGCCGATAGCCAAGAAAACAAACAAACTCACTCAGTTAAGAAATTCTCTGCCTGCTATGGAACACGAAGGTCCTTACCGTTTTTACGATAGCCCACCACCGACGCGGCTGACAACCCGAAAGTCATCATGTTCCGTGCCCATTCAGATGACGCTCATAGCCTTTAAATTATGCAGTTCTTGGGTTCTTTTTCGTTGTAGAAATAATTCCCTCGTTACTTTGTTCTCAAACTTCTTACCGTCGGTAATTATTGATTAATTGTCGTAGGCAAACTAGGACATTACTAATAGAGGCCAGTTTTAACACCATTGTCTCAGTGTTCGCCGTTGGACTGGATTCTTTTTTACTTATTGTCATGTTGTTTTGCCTCTCGACCCGTGCAATGGTTAACTGACAGCTTTACAAAACTACCTTAAATTAGGCTACGACCGCTTCCTTTGACATCCACTATAATTTATTATTCACTATCATCCTCTCACTCTATGCTATATACTCGGAGCTACTGAAAAAGCATCGTTAAATAAACTTTAAATAAATTTCAGGTTCAAATGTTTTCCTGGCCATTTTGTTTGTAGTAAGTTTTAATGTATGTTTTTTCCTCAAAGTTGCAGTCCCTGCTTTACGAAGCAGGTTGTAAAATTAATAGCTTATTTATCTTGATCCTAAATGTTTCAGAAAGCAAACGGTGAGACTCCAGTATTTGAACCGAATAACAAGCATTTTACAAATTAACGTTTTTTTTATGACAGTGTGGTCATGTAAAATCTTTAGTTATTAGAATGTGTTTGGCCACTGTTCGTTTTGTTTGTGTGTGAAACTTGATTTCGGATGTTTAGGGAAGAATCCATATTGGGGGGTTCAACTTCAGCTGTCTAGGATGAGCCTCGTCTAATGTTAAAAGAATTCAGCGTTTCGTCAGGCTTTGCCGAATTTCTGCCTCGATGGCAATTAGGGCTCGCATTAATGGCTCTGAGTTGTACATTTACCTCAGCTGCTAACACCCAAGGACCATGTTGATGGTTTTTGAGAACAGGGCGCCCAGTATCACATTTGGGCCAGAAACAAGTAACAGGAGGCTGGAGAAAATTACGTATTGAGGAGCTTTATAATTTTTGCTCCTCTCCAAATACTGTTGGCGTTATCAAATCGAGGATTATGGGATGAGTACGTAGCACGCAAGGGGATTTTATTCACTGTTCAAGTGTAGTGTTAGCTTGGCTTGAAGCAAGGTAGTTAATGTGTGTAGTTTGTACGAAGTGAGTTGGATGCGCAGAACTGCTATTTGATTTCTGAGGAAGTGCGCATGCCCGAGCTTAGCCAATCGTGTTGCAGAAAGAAGAAACATGTTTTGCCATCACAGTTTTTTAAAGTGCGTTTAGGCAGTCAAAAGGCGTTCTAATACGGCCTGTCGTATGAGTAGATTTTGTTAACGAGAAACTTGAATGTGGATCAGGACATGCACAGTGGTGTCTGCGCGTTTAATGTGCAAGTGAGTATGACCCTTGTTTGTGCGTCAAGCTTACAGCCCTGTTTCTGATAATATGGACAAATCCGAGACAAGAAAACTAACAGAACACCACGCCTTTGTATGAAATCAGGCGACTGTAACTTCAAGTTGTTTGTAAAATCGATATCTAGTCCCAAATCTCCTTAGGTGTGTGTTGATTCTGTACTTTAGTGAGTGTTTTGTTACAAGTTTTTACACCGGATAGGTTGATGTAGCGTTAAACCAGGGCCTGCGTCCAGCCAGCAAACATGTGTTGTGTGTTTGATACTGCTTTGTCCTGTCCACGTCAGAACTGCGATGGGATATTCTAATAGGCCATAAGTATCTCCCTCCAAATCCATGTTAATTCCCCATTTCTGGTCTCCTTACTTTTCGCTAGACAACATGAAGTAAAACAATTTCGTAATTTTACTTGCAGATTTCACAAAAATTCGCTACAAAATCTCAATTTGATATATTAAAATCTTCAAGGGTATCTAGTAAAGCTATATGTGGTAGTAACATTTTGCTAAGCGATGAATGTGGGGCAATCCAGAGTATCATATGCGCATGTGCATTACCTTATATGCAACCCACCCCCTTTTGAAAATATTCAAAGAATTTGGTGGGAGATAACAGAAAGTTGCATAATGAGGCATGCACGCACGATCTAATATTTTATGTGACACGTCGTAAAATTAAATATCGCACGAAAGTTTATTATGAGATATATTGACGATAATTTTACAACATATATTCAAGAAATAGGATATAGATGGACATGGGGACTGAAGTGTGTGGTTAGCATTAAGGGCCCATAAAAGTAACAAAGTTTTCTACCGTCTGAGTAACTATGAATGTTTCTAGGACGTGACTTGTTTTGCTTCTGAATTTATAAAAGTTCCTTGTCGATGGAATCCTTTGAAAGAGCGTCTTCAGAATATTGTAGTTACAAACGTCTTCGCATCGATCCAGTGCTCTGATTGTGTACAAAGTGTATGTGCCCGAAAGTCACTGTTCCATTGAAAAACACACTCGAGCTCAGCGTGATAAATCGATAGTTTACCGTA